TGAAATGACGTCATCAGTAACGTGATTGGACCGAGTTCTTTTGGGGGAGCCAAACGAGCATTTTGGTGCAGCAAAAAGGAAATTTTGAGCACAACTAGCACACAGTGATTTATGTGTTTGCCTACTTTGCCTTCCCACTTCTGCGCAACCTTGCGATAGCATCAATGGCATGGCAGGTTTGATTCCCTAGCAAGCTGTTTAGTTGTGCGTAGATGCTCCAGGCATGGAAACAAGATGTTGATTGATGAAGGACAGTACGAATTGCGTCGAATAGAAGTTTTAGGCATAAAATCAAACATAAACAAATAGTACATTCCACTGAAATAATGTTAGATTATAATAATTTCGAGAGCCCAAACTGATGTTTTTATAAGTTCGAAAGGTTGCAATAAAAATGCAGCTCTTAATTCACAAAAAAGAAAAAAAGAACAAAAAAGAAGCTGACATTGTTTTACTGAATATCAATGACATGTATTCAGAACTTCACGACAAAGATCAGCATGCAACGATAAATATGTCTTGTTGACGAAAAAAAAGGAAAATCCCGTCGAGCTCGTTAAGGTTATCCCCGATATTGCATTTACCGCTCCAGCTAATTTAGTTTTAATTTTCCTCTACTGATTGTGCCATCGAATGGATGAAACCTATATAAAGGTAATAACTAAGCGAGAGTTGGCATCAACACAACATAGAAGTGTCAGCGCAATGCTCACATATCCTTGATAAATTTAGATTGTGAAAACGATATGGTCAGAATATTGCAGTCTATATCATATACACTAGCCTCAATTTTATTCAGAAATCGTATGTAATGCCGCACTCTGAGGAAGTGATTTACCCTTAGCACGCGGGTAGCAATGCATGCAAAATCGCGATGCCTACTTTTTCGGTGGTCGCTTCACCGCAGTACAACAGTGCACGGGGACAAGAGCACTCGACAAAGCGAAAGGCCCGTTCACAGACTTGCGCTTGACTACAACCGACAGGGACAAGACCGATTTCTACTCACAAACTTGCGAGTTCTTAGAGCCCGGGAGGCTAAAACCGGCTTTTAAGCTTTTCCTGACAGCTAACGACCGGCTCCGCAGCAGCGCATCCGGTCGAAAGCCGTCACAAGAAACTTTAAAAAGTTCCGAGGACACCTAAGCCCTTCTTATGAGTTGTGAATGAGAAAGCATCAATGTCGAATCGAACGCCCCTGAGTGCTCCTTCGAGTTTTGCGGTGCGATTATTGAGGCGCCGCCACCCGAGAGGATAAAAGCTGGTTTTTAAGCCTTTCGTGACGGCTTACAACCGTCTTCGCAGCAGCGCAGCCAGTCGTAAGCCGTCACAAGTGACTTAAAAACGGTCGTGTCGAAGTCGAACGCAAGTGTGTGAACGGGCCTCAACAAACCAGCCAGAACAGACAACAAACATTAAAAATATTGTACAACGTCGGAGTATTGTCAATGTTCGATACAGAGATCAAATCTAATATGATGCTATTTGAAGCAATAATCAGAAGTTCTAAAAATTCCAACAAACCTTCCATAACAATCCACCCGTGTATACGATACCCGATTTATTATACCTTCCGTATTAATAAAGTGAAAATAAGTTTTGGCGCAAATGGCGCAACAAGCACATCACTGTCACCACAATATAGCTTATGTGATCATGCAACACACAGCGTGTCCCCCCCCCCCCCCCCCCTCTTCCAAAAAAAAAAAAAAAGAGTTTGTTTGTTTTTTTGCCGCAAAACTTATTTTCCACCCAAATGTAGCGGTAGCGGTCTGAACCAGATCCCAAAGTTTCAGCACGAACCGTTATCTTAATCCAAAGTTATGATTTTCTGAAAATTTCAATGGGAAAATGGGGCCGATTTTTCCCCGTTTTCGGTAACTGGCGCCATAGAGCTCTGTTAGCCGCCATTTTCCCATTGAGAATTTCCGAAAATCCAACTTTTGAATAAAATAAAGGTTAGTGCTGAAACTTAAGCATCTGGTTTGAACCGCTATCACTACCTTTGGGGGATAAAACAGTACAAAAGACAACGGACAGTGTAAAGAAGGACACAGACAGCGCTCTGTCTGTGTCCTTCTTTACCCTGTCCGTTGTCTTTTGGGCTGTTTTAACCTTTTCAGTATGTCACACCAACTCGCCCAGGCTTCAACCTTAGCTACCTTTGGACGGAGAATGAGCGTTCGGCGATGCATAGTTTATTTTTGCAGTAAAACAAACAAAACAAAACAAAAATTTGGGGGGGGGGGGGACATTTTGTATATTGATTACGTCATCACGTAACATCTAGCGATTAGGTGATCATGACTTTTCCCACCAATAGGGCAACAAAGGGTTTGCAACAACACGAGCTACTGGGCAAGGGGTCAGCGGTTCAATTCCCACTGGGTCACAGACTTGCAAAGGCAAGTGGCTATGTTAGCATGTTTTTGTGACACCATTTCGTGACTCTTTAAGCCCTGAAACCAGTGGCGTAGCTAGGCCATCCGGTACCCTTGTCTTTCTCAGATAGCGTTTGGCATCTGATCTCATTTTGTTTTTGGTTTATTTTCAATTGTATGCTACAGGAATTTGGATGGTTCTCTGAAAGGCTGATTTGGTTGTATTCATATTTAGATTTTTTTTTAAATAATTTTAAATAATGGGCGTATTTTTAGTTATCGGAGATTTCGAAACATTCTACTCAAGCTACCAAACTTAGTCGGCACCTCAAGAAATACAGTTGTCTGTAGGCACAGCTTTTATCCATGCACTTTGATTTAACCAATATGCACTTTGATTTAACCAATATGCAGCGCCTTTCTAAGAAACAAAATTTTTAGACAAAACCTTGAGTGGGATGGGGGGTGGGGGGGGGGGGGGGGGAACGAAGGACGACACAACAGACAGGGGGGGGGGGGGGGGGGGGAACGAAGGACGACACAACAGACAAAGTCCTTTGTTTTTTTGTTTTTTTCTAGTCTCAGAGTTTTTTCTTAAAATATGTTCAACCATCCCCATTTAGTTTGAGCCCTAACTTTTTGTTCACTGAAGTAGTATTCTATTAGCCCCGAGAAGTTCGCGTGGCGCCCCCTTATGGCGAACCGGGGTGACGTCACGGCGAGGAGAGAATTTTTCCCCGACTCGCCCCGCTCGCCCTGTGGAGGCTGTGACGACGGTAGCTGACGGCGCGCTCGTTTCTATTTAATGTTTTTGGCGTGTTTTTCGTAGGAAGTGTAAATTTTTATATGTGCCTTTATTGAGGTATGGCCTGTAGCTACAGGTGAAACTTCAACCAACATTTTAAGCATGGTTGACAGGGCAGGCAACGCATGAATCGGAGCTGGTATATGAAAATAAAGAAATACGGTCACAATTGCAGGAGCATCACTATAGATTTACATTTTGCACTATAAATGCTGCTGATGGTCTGAATGAATTGGCAGGTTATGTATATTATTTTTTTTTATCTCTGATTTTAAACAAGATCGCCGAGGCAGAAAAGCTGCATGCTGCCCGAGCAACATGTTAAATACAGCCTGGGCCATGAAGAGAGAATTACAAGTAAGACAGCCCAAGTGCAGGGGCAAAGTAAAAAAAAAACAAAAAAACAAGGAACATTTATTATATACATTGCTCGCATTTGACCTTTGCTGGATTCGGATAGTAATTCAATGGACTACACGGGTGGTATCTGTGGACTTGTTTATATCAACCCTCAAGTAATGCATAACAAACGTAAGCGAAGGTGTCTAGCTCGTTATTAGCCCCTTAAGCCCTAAAATTGAAATTTTACTTAAATCGAATTGTCCTGAAGCTAAAATACCTGAAGCTTTTCTCCCGCAGACTGTCGCCCTTCACAGGTTCCACATTTTCTGCTGCTAGTGCTGCATCTACCACTGGACAGACGTTCGAATGCTTGCTTTTACTCCTGTTTTCCTCTGATGTCAGAGTGTCCAGCTCTAGGAAGTTTGGGGGCTGAGGGAGCTTTTGGGGACCTGCAGCAGTGTCCCTTTTAATTGGAAATGACAATTCAGACTAAACGGTGTATTTTCAGAATACCCAAGGCTGGAATAAAGAATGTCAGGAAAAAGTATAAACACTCCATATTACGGCACTATTGCCGTGCGTAGTTTGGCAGTTCAATACATATACAGACAACTGGGGGCAATTCGGCCGTTTTTGCTGCTACCATACAAACTAATTTCCAGTAATTGTGCAGCTTCTAAGAAATATGCCTGCATGCGTGTGTAAACTATATAATTAATTCACGAAGAAGCTATATTTATTTAAAACAACCCTGTTCCACGAGCACTCTGAAGATCATCAGACGCAGGGCCTTTAAAACATCTGCGAACCAGCGCATGCAGAATGGCAGCGCGGAGTCAGGGTCGCGAGCTAATTTGCCGACCACCGAAAGGCCCATGATGTAAATGCCACTTCAAATGCCTTGAAAGCGGAATGTAATATCGTCTTAAATCGTGAACGTGCAAGGAACAGAATTCCAGCGTCTGAAACACTCGCGCCACCGCTTCACCGACCCCTCGCAAGATTGCCTTGTGTCGTGTGGACGGACGGGGAGGTTCATCGGCGGAATTGCCTCCGCCGATGGCTTTCGGGATTTTTAACCCAATTTTAAAGTTAAAAGGGACAAGCAGGCTTATAAAATGTACGGAAGCACGTCAATATCGGCCTAACTCAACGTCCTGTACACCAGGTAAACGAAGTCCAGCTCCTCGAAGAGCTTGCGGCACACAACGCCAAACCAGGAAACCGGTGCTGGGAAGCGAGCCGATGCGAGATCGCGGAGCGGAGTACTCCCCCTGACGTCACGGTACACCTCACCCAATCAGGGCGCGGCGACCGCAGCGACGCTTGTGTTAGCTCTCGGGGCTAATAACATCCAGTCACTTTTCAATTGTTATCGTATTGATCAGATAGTGAATCGCGACTCGTCACTACCTTTCTAGCAGACGCCCTTGTCAACCTGTGTCTTGAAAGAGAGGGCATGCAAACATTTATGCCGAACAATTTTTTTTTTTTTAATTCACGAAAAGTCAACAAGTCGAGCCGACATATATTCTTCTCACTCCGTGATGTCTTGCACAAAAGCATGTAGAAGTTAGGGCACCACGGATCAGAAGCCCATATTAGAGAATAGAAGTCACCCAGCTTGGTATCCTCCGAGAGATGGGTTGGCTGGGCTAGCTTGTTTTGCTAAACAGCCGAGCAAACTAGGCAGCGCTGGCACTGCGTGACGCAGGCGAGAGCATGCAGTGAACGTGCAACTTGCACAGGGGCCACGAGCCATACCACAGTTTCTGGGCCACACGGATTGGTGTCGCCATCTAGGGGTCAAATTTTAAGCTTTTTCAAGACGGCCGCCGTGGGACAGCCTTAAACACAACAAAGACCAACGCCTCCTCGGCGTTGCAGATGCCTATTTCAGTGGCTAAAGACGCACCAAGAACCAAGGAGAACTGCACTTGTAACATATATAAGAACAACAGTCGTCTCTTGGGGAATGTAGCACTTGGACACTGCAAAGTCATCAGGTGTAAATACGGCCTGAAAAGTGTGGAGAAAAAAGGGAAAATCAAACCAGCCAGTTGTGACATAAAAGTTCCTCCTTCAAAAAATAAAAGCTAGAATGGAGGAAGCAAATGCACTTCTTGCTGTGTGTGACCTTAGAAAACGGCAACCACATCACTACATGACTCATACAAAACTTCATAACTGTTCAAATAAAAAAATGCTGTGTTCAAATAAAAAAAATGCACACCCACTCAGCTTATACAATCAAAGCTAGTGACCCGACAGTGTCTTCTGCAATAAAGATATGGAGACACCTCACAATCTAAACGGCCAATGCACAAACTCCGTCATTCCTATTTTATTCCTCTCCAAGAATGTAGTAAATGAAAGCCTTTACATTCTTGAATCATAATTCTTGTGTAAGTAGTAAATATTCAAGGCAAAATTTAAAAAAATAAGAAGTTTCAAAATTTTTAGTTACTCAAGACCAGCTGTTTGATTTTCTCAGAAATGTGCTTCCTTCTAATTTTAGATAAAAAAACTTTGTTTCTAATGAGGATAAGACACCAAAACATGGGCATGCCATCCATGCACACAATGTCAGAAAGGCAAAATAGGAGAATACCCGGGGCAGAAGTGTTTGGGCAAGGTGTAGAGACACCCAACCAAAAAAAACTTTCAGCCTTTCCACTCTGGAGAAGAAGGAAGACCAGCGGAACTGTACAATGGAAAGTAATGGTCGGCCGGAAGTCGGCAAGCCAGAGTGGAAAGGCTGCCGCCATCTATGAGCGACGGCGGCAACAAGATACGTGGCTTGCCACCGTCGCTCATAGATGGCAGTACCGTAGGCGTCCAGCGTTGGGTGTCTTATTTCTTTGCGGGGGACACGATCCTGGGGAAACTAGCCCTTAACAGCTCCGCTGTAAAAATAACTTTCACTATATACTTCGTTGCAACTCAAGAAGGTAGGGCGAGGGAAAGGAAGGCCAAGGAGGAGGAACCAGACGGAACACTGAAGAGAGGAGGTTCCCCCTCTCCTCTCCAGCATTTTGTCTGCTTCTTCCTCCCCAGCCTTCTTTTCCCTCACCCTACCTTCTTGAGCTGTAACTTACTACAGATTTTTATTGCAAGTACATGTGTTCTCCACAGGCTCCAAATGTTACCATTATTTCTCTCACCTTCTTTCATGGACCTTGCATTATCTTACAGAAACTCTAGTTTTATTGTTTCCTATACGTCTGTTGTTTGAGCACCTTAAAGTTCAGTAATTGGGCTAGATTTTCTGACAATGCAAAGCACCGGCGGCAACTACATGAACTTTGCATGCTTTGTACCTCAAACATTGAATTCAGTAGTGGATTCTGTCAAATTCTGCTTAGAAAATTCAGCAAACTGCCTAACCGAAACTCCGGCCGGCAGGATGGACTTTGTCTTTCTCTTCCCTTTCTTTCATTAATGGCAACTCCACCCACTCAGAAAAACATTGAAGGACTATTTGAATGTATCAAGCAGTCAGGGTTTTCGGACCAACCAATACCACTATCTAACTGCCAAATATCTTCCTGAAATTGGCCCCTCTTGAAAATAAGTTAAACGAAAAAGACACGGAATGTCCAGATGCATCAAAATATCAGTATACTCTCTCAAATGTGCAGGCCTGCTTCCTTCAATTAGTTTGTCCCATACTTACGGTGCATTCAGTCAAAATAAGACATACCCTACTAGGTATGTGTTCTGGTAACTATACTTCAAATCAACCAAATAAAAGTCAATCTTCCTTTAAAGGAAGATTGACTTAAGTTTAAGAAGATAGATTACAGCTATCTTCTTAACTGGCAATGCCTTGGCTTCATTTCATTTGACCGCCATATGCGGAAAGAAGAGAAATAAATTGAGTTCCAAAAACATGTGCTGAGATAACTATAACCAGCAAGCCTTACCAGAGTAAAGCTCGGACTCTTCTTGTTGCGCCAACTGATTGATGGCAGCGTCCATTCCGGAATATCACCCCGGTGGTATGTCACGCAGCCATGGTGCGTGTGACCGGTGAATACAGCACGAGGCTGCAGGGCACTAAGGACCTGCCAGTGTCAAAAGAGCACACAACTAATGTGAATTTTTTGCGACACGGTCAAACGATATAACCCTGACGGTCTATGCCAGTGGTTCTCAACCATTAACGTTTTGCGGACCCGTTGTGGATCGGCGGAGATGACGGAGGACGCCGTTTGTGGTGAGGGGAAGGGAAAGGGATAGGTTAATTATGATAATGACCTAATAAATTAATATAACTAAGGGCTAGAGTGAAGTAGACATCCCTCATTGACATACACACGAAACAACTCACCCTAAATTGGAACATTTCATCTCAATCTAGAAGAAATACAACTTTTATTGCTTGGGCTTGACTGATGAGGCAGGGCTTCGCAGACCCCTAGAATGCCTTTGCAGACCCCAAAAGTTCTGCAGACCCTCCTTTGAGAACCACTGGTCTATGCCCTCCCAATTACTATTCAGGAAGAGACAACTTGCCATCTCTGTAGCTTTTTCAGACAGGCAGTCCCACTTTTCCCGGAACACTTCATTTCTGTCTGGATAGGGAGCAGCATCTGGCCCTGAGCATTCACTATCTGATGTCCTGTAGAGAGGGAAGTGCTGCAAGACAGAAGGGAGCACTAAGAACTGTTCCAGTGTATCCAAGCAATGACCATAATCAACCATTTATCAACAACAAGGAGTCGAATGTAAAACGTGTGAACCAAGAAAACCGATCTTGAACACCACCTCCCATTCAATGTGGCATCTGGGAAAACAAGTGTCCCATCCAGAGGGAACAAGCTGGCACAGCTTGTTATCGCAAATGGCTGATGGCCCCAAATGCGTTGGGCAACTTTCAATATCATCCATGATTTAGAGAAGTTTTTGAAAGACCCCGAAGGGGCAAGACTTGCACAAGCCACTCTCCATGCTCTTGCATTTGTAAGGTTATTCGCGACTCTCACAAAGTGGACAGCACCTAGTGGAAAAACACTGAACTGGACGGAACAGGTCCTTTCGCGATTTCTGCGCATCTCCTGTGGCTTCCATGATTTCATGTTGTTAGCAGTTGGTACAATGAAACAGTTGTCCCAGTGGCTCAGTTGTTACTGTCGTATCAGTGTGTTGCCCGGGTCGCTCTGAACGTAACCTAAGCAACCGTGTGGATCAGACATTGTGTGTTTATCAACCTTCAGCACTGTAGAAGGACAGTAGTTCTAAAATGTTCAGTTGAGAGTAAGTCCTCGTCCTGTTCGCCTTCCTTTTTTGGCCTTGTCTATTGTTAGCACTTCTAATTTTATAAGTCATGAACCGATTAGCCAGCTTCGCCACTTTAGGATCGCTTCCCTGTAGAAGGTCAAGCCTCTGGAAGCTCACTTTTGCCAACCGGCGGACACTTCAAGCGACTTCCGGTTAGCTATTTGAGCGTCATCTCTTATCCGTTGGTATTCTATTAGGTTTTTCTGGTTTACGCCGGAAAGTTTATTTAATAAGATGAGATACACATTATTGTTCCTGCTTACAGGTTTCAAAAATTATCCTGGTAAGATGAAACAAATATTTTGGTTAGCTAAAGTTTCGCCCTCCTAATTTGTTCTCATTGGCCGGTTGTTTTTTGTATTTTGACCATTGAGAACAGTTGCACGTCGGCTGCCGCGCTCGCGGATGCATCGGCTGCTCGACGGCGCCTGTGCCAGCGGTGCGTGCGGTGGTGGTTTTCGTTTGCGGCAGTGGGCAGTGGCGTTGACCTATTGGTTATCGGTCTATTTCTTCTACCAGTACACGGAGCAAACGAAACCTTGTCTATTGCTCGACTCAGTGGTGCTCTAATTCCAGTGGCAACAGCTCTGCCAAGTTCTTTGGGTTCCTGATCGAGTGACGAAAGGTAAAGACGGGCTGCTATACTTTTGGCTATAGAGTTTCGGATTGCAGAAGACTTGCTGGTGCATGTTTCTTTATGGTAGAGTTATTGTAGAAGGTCACAAGGGACAGCGCATGTATCTTAAAATGAACGGTGTGGGCGGTATCAGTGTTAGAGCACCGCAGCTCGGTAGCTCGTGCGTGGAGCAGCTCGCTGCAGAAGGAACCTGCGAGAGACCGTGGCGATCGAATCACTGTCGCTAACTACCGCAAAGTTAAATGTGTGATTGCAGGTCTGTGAATACTTGAATGGTAGTTTCGTGTAGATTTTGTTACTTTGTTGTGCCGTGCAGTGAACGTTTTTTTCTTTTTTTTCTCTGTATAAAGAGCGTGCCTAATAAAAAGAGAACTTGCAAAAGAAGTTTGGACTTGTGCTCAGACTGGCGATGTGCGCCCATCTTAAGCCGCTAAACAGCAGCGGCTGGGCGTACTTTGCATTCATTGATTGACGATTTTATGAGAACTGGCTGTCACTGAACATGCATTGTTGCCAAGCTGATCTCAATCGAGCGACGCAAAGCGTCGAACATTCGCAAAGAAAAGGTAAACACACTTTTTTTTTTTCTAGAAAGATTGCATTGTATTGTAGAAGAACGAGACGGCGGCAGTGGGAGCAGTTCCCTCTTCTCTCAACATCAGCGACAATAGGATGCAAATTCGTTCGGAGTTCGGAGGCTGATCCGAACTCCGAACGAGCTCGCATCCTTTTGTCGCCGAGGGTGAGAGAGAGGGAGAGGAGGGACCACACTTCTCACACCCTCTCCCATAGCCAAGCGGTTGCCATGACGACGGCACGCGTATTGTTTTGTCTATTTCTTATTACTTTTGGAGAAACCCAACGCCCGTTAGGGGAGATTTGGCGCTGCCGTCTGCGATTGGAGTCCCAATGGGAGGTATAGGAAGAGTCCGCCGGTTGCTAACGCCAACACATCGCTGCAGGTTTGAAACATAGTGAATAAAAAATGAGGCAAACTATTTTGAGTTCAATGCTTGCCTGCTGAAACTCGAGCGGTGTGTGTTGAGCTGGAACGTGGTACGACACAACTTGTTTTTTTCCGCCATATTCGCCCCATAGTAGCGACCCTTATGCACCGACAAACTGAGAGAGGAGGAGACGAGAGCGCGCGGGGACATCAGAACGCCGATTTCTGGTTGGAATGATTTGCGGGCAGACCTAAAACAAGCTGCCTTTGTCTCTACTGCAGTCATCGAACGCAATAAAATGCGGAACATCGGTGTCCGGCGTTTGACTTTCCCATTCGAATGCGTTTGACAAGTGCAGTGGAAACAAAGGTCTCCACTGCACCTGCTGAACGCGTTAGAATGTGGAACTCCGGCATCCAGCATTTGGCTCTCGCATTCAAACGCGTGCAGTGGAGACAAAGGCAGCTAGTTTAGGTCAACCCAATAATCATTCAAACCAGGGCTCGGAGCTCTGATGTCTTCATGCAACTCTCATCCCCTCCTCTTCCTCACTTTCTGGTCGCTGGAGTGCAAAACAGCTGTCAAGCACATAATGACAGTAGTATTCCTTGCAATGTCTAATTTCCCAGTTCCTTACAGTACTCTGGGACAACATACTGTGCCCCCAACTGCATTATCTGCTATGGTAATTAGTCTGAAGCACGGACATATCCCTAGACTGAAATGTGGTACAGTCGATCCCGTTTTCAACAAACACTTTCGGATGTGCATATTAGTTTGATATATCAAATAGTTTATCATATTGGAACTCGCATAGTATAGCGGATTTGAATGCCAGGAGTTTGAAATACAACAACATATTGAGACTGGATGTGCAGTAAACACTTGAGTTGTTACTTCAGTGGATCACGAAAGAAACGTTTAATTCAAGAAAACATAACTGAGAATGCGGTAGGTGGGCTAATAGATAAAACAAAAAGCAATTCCAGTTCAACCGTTTCTTCTGCTGGGACGTTTGCTGGATTGGAGCACCTAGACCTGCACGAAGTAGATAAAAATTAATTGCCCTTTTCTCCGAAAAGCTGCACGAGGCACGCCGATTACGAGTGAGTCACAAGCGCTTGTGCTTTAGATTCAGGTCTGGCAGTATGACAGGCATGTTCTTGAAGAAGATTTTCCTTCCTTAATGCCAAAATCTAAATGAAACCAGCGGAGCCATGGAGAAGCGCACCATGTGCTTCGTGCGACTGAAAACAGCGATGCTCTCTCATCACGCATCCGTGCGCTTCTGTGCATAGTAAACTCCAACGAGAACAAGATTCATACTGAAGCAGGTCGAGACTGCTGTTCGTAAAGAGGTCGGGTCGGCCGTCTGTGTGTCGTAATCTCAAGTCGGGACCTCAGGTACCGGCAGAGAAGTCATTCCATTAGCTCGAAAACCATCGTACATCGGCACAACGGGCCAAGCTAGAACCTTTTTTTTTTTCTCCTTCTTTAAATGGGAAAGGCGTTTGCGCACTTCCGAAGGCCGTTTTTTTGTTGCAAAGTTTGATATAGCCAATAGGTCTTTCTTTATGAAAATATATTTTACATGCAATTTCATTTGAAATATTTTTGGGCGTTCGATATAGAAGGTAACTCGCTGCATCTGGATTCATTATAAATGGGTGCGACTATACTCAAAGCAACTGGAACAAGCCAAAGATGCAATGAAATACTGAGCTACTAAATGCAATTTAAAGATAACAATGCACTAAACAAGATTACCATGAGCAAAACTGGACGACTGTGGTGCTCAAAATCCACTTTGGTGCAAGTTTCCTTTGGTGGGACATTGTGCTGAGACGTCATTTTTGAATCCAGTGCCTATGAAATATAAAGCTCCGTTTAAACGCATGAAAAATATAGAACTATGCCCTGTTTCATAATAACTCGGCAAATTGAAAGCTATAGCCCTCCATGATCAAACCAGCCACTGCCTCCCCCCCTCCTCCCCCACATCAATTACAATCATAGTCCAAACCCTGTAATCGTGTTTGGAGCAAGGCCTCTGACATCATTCTTTAGAAGCTTATGTATCAATGCACCAGAGGTGAGGATTGGAGGTTCGGTTATCGTCTGCTACCAAATCAATGCACTTGAGAGGAATGTCTACCTCCTGCCAATGCCAAAGTATTGCCCGCTTTAGTAGCCGCAATAGATAGTTTAAGGAATCACTAATGCACCTCTGCAATACTATCAATTGGCTTGCGAATCAGCATCAAAAAGCCACGTCAAGCCATTGAACTGAACCGCAAGTATCGACTGGCCCACTTTGATTAGTCAAAAACGATTTAGCCCTTGGGGAACTGCTGAACAGAACTGAAACATGTATGGAAAAAAAGGTGTCAGTCTTTTTGCTGTAATGCATAGAACAGCATTACAGCGATGTTTGTGTAAACGGGCAAGGCAACAAGGCAAGAACGAGCTGAGGCAGCAAATGCAAGTGACACCATTATTGGAAGTTAAAGCAAACACTGACTTAGAATTTTGAATAAGTTTAGATGTCATTCCTAATAAAATTTATAAATAAGGTCGACAATGTTTGTTGAATTAAAAAAACATGTCATGACTACTTTTTGGCATGTATGGCACATTTTGTTGTGGTGCTGATTAAAGGGGCCCTGCAATCATAGTTAAGAGTCTACCTTTTTTGCAGTTTCCACATCTCTTGGGGTTCGGGCAAGCTAGCAAGTCACGGAGAGAGTAACTAAATATCAGTGAGTCATATTTTAACCGGACGACGCGGAAACCTACTCCACCTACGGGGGCGACCTGCGGTGTCGAAAGCGTGCGATACGTGGTCTTTTGTCCTGAGCTTACTACTGATCAGAGCCGCTAAAAGCTTCTTTTTAAGCGAAATACAAAATATAAGTGGCGCGAACCGTTTCAATTATTTATGAAAGTAGTTTTTGTTCAGTATTTTAAATCAGAAAAAAAACAAATGCAGTTTATAAAGTACGGAAACAAGAAATGACCCGTCGACATACCCGCCACCAAGCGGTGGAAAAGGCGGCGCATACTAGAAAGGGGTAGTGGGATCAGGCATTGACGAGTGGCGAGCGTAGAAAGGTCCCAAATGTATGCGGCGGCGCTGCGGTCGTATACTGGCTGAAGGATTCGACCGGTTCCGAGCGTTTTGAAGGCCTTCGGCGAGAAGGTTTGGCTTGCGGTTTGGCCGTTTGGCGGTACGGCAGCGCGAAGTGGCTCCCGTTTTGAACTGATCTTTACCCCATTTTTGCTGTCGTTTGTGGCCAATGAAGTGTCATGCCGAATTAGTGTTTCATTGCGCAGCAAATGCAATGCAAGCCACCCTGGATGCCGACCTCATACAGGCTATCCAGAACATGCTTTAGTGGCGCCCTTTCGAGCCGTCGACACGGAGTGCGGCAGCCGTGAGCGCTCTGAGCCCACTACCCCTCCTCTAGTTCACGGCCACTCAAGCGACCAAGGACGTCATGAGGGAGGTTATTTTTTGCTTGTTTTTGCAATTTTAATTTGCCCATAACTTTTAAAATAAAGCAAAATTCGAGAAAAGAAAATGTTCAGTGCGCTCAGGTTCGGTGCAAATTAAAAACCAGTAAAAAAGTCCTTGCAGGGCCCCTTTAAGACAAAGTATATAGCTGCAAGTGTTTCAGTAATGTGAGGCAGTTTGCAAATTAATAAAATAAGAAAACTCTGTAGCATCTAACATGTACAAAGGCTTCTTACCAAGGAACACTGCAGCCTGCGTTCAACATCTTTCAGCTGTGCCTCTGCACGGACGCATAAATTACAGTTGTCCATATGCATTGCCATGCTATTTATCAATACAAATGTGTTGCCTTTGAATGTCTTCATATGCACAGCAGAAGTGTTGAAGGTTTTGTCAAAACGATCCACAAAACTTTTGTGCATCCTGAAAGGGGCAGAGATGTTATGAAACACATTGATAGTAGAGATACTTTCAAAGCGATAAAATCTACTCAAGCATGCATAAATACACATATATAATGAACTCAGTTTGAAAACCCACTTTGTGTTAGTATTTCTAGGCCTAAACAAATCCAGAGTCTACAAGATCAAAAAAGGAGCAGAGAAAACTAAATGAACAACAACAACAACAGACCTGTAATGAAAGCCGATGTCATGATTTCCAGCCACAACAAGCATCTTAGTGCCCCTTGGAATGTAGAAAAGCTCCCAGAATCGCTCCATATAAGTATCAAATTGCTTGTCACTGCTCCATTGGCCTTCATCAAAAACATCACCTATAACAAGGAACAACACTTTTTATGCTACCACTTTTATGCTATACCAACAAGTGAGGTTTATGATTTAGGCAATTGGCATTTAAAAGACATCTTGGAACTCCTTACATGACCCCTCCTGCAGGATCTTTCAAAACTGACAATACAAGAAAAAAGACCAATCAAGCGCACGGCATAAATGCCTGGAGCAGTTCACTGATAATTCAGTGTTTTCCCAGGCAAACAGGTTGGATTGACCTACAATTCACTCAGGAGATTTTCTGCACACCACTTCTACCTTGCCGAGCATAAGCACGCCAAAAGACTATACAAGTTATGTGTTACTCGCGGAAAAGATATTAGGTCAACCTATTTCAGAACTGGACTTTTCCTAATGTGCAAGGTTTGCTGAGCTAACCCAGTTTAGGGAGAAATGGGCATGTGGTGAGGCCAATGCGGTTTCTTCATGCTACTATTTATTTATTTATATGAAAATACTGCCAATCCCAAGAGGCACTTTAGTGGGAAAGGACACAAAATACAAGAAAATTGAATGCATCATAACTGGCACTTCAAGGTCAAAACGTACACATAAATGCTACTGAACAGTACCTATAGAAAAGGAGCAAAGTCGGAATTCATATCTAAAACAAACATATAATTAACTAAAAATTAGGCCAGCCCTGCTTATACAATAGAAAACAAAAAAATAGGTAATCTTATATCAGTCATCACTATCTGACAAAGCATCTAGATGTGCTAGGAATTGGGTGGTGCTGCTAGTGATGGAATGATCAAGTTTGTTCCATTCTCTGATGACTAAGGAAAAAAAAAGTGCTGAAAACAGTCAATTTTAAAGGAATATTTAGACAAGGTTATATTGTGTTTATGCCGGGCTGCTCTAGTATTAGAAAATGAAATATACTTGAATTTATCAATTTTAAAGGCATTTTGAAGAAGGAAGTACAAGAATTTCAAGCTAAGCTGTTTAGCTCTGCTAGCTAGGGTTAAAAGATCTGCTTTCTTAAGAAGTTCAGTCGGTGAGTCTGTGCACCTGTATTTATTGTATATAAATCTAATTGCCCTATGTTGTATTTTCTCCAGTTTAGATATGTTGGCCTTTGTGTGAGGGAACCAGAAAATATTAGCGTATTCCAGTGTGGGCCTAACTAGACTATGTAGCGTAAGCAAGGAGTTTTGTGACCGTGGTGGCTAGTTTAAGTGATCTTCTCAAGTACGTGAGTTTTTTTTTTACTATTATTGTATCACCTAGAGACGTCCCCAGTCATTCTCAGCCCTCTTCATGCCTGCTTTGTTCCTACTGTAATAGAGTGACCAGATGTCCTGTTTCGGCAGGGACAGTCCCGTTTTAGAGTTGCATTTCTGCCATCCCATCATTTCTTTCTCAATGGGCGCGTTCAGTAGCGGCCCCGGAGTCAAGGAGTCACTGACTCCTTCCACTGGACGGCCAAAAGTCACTTCCCGTGCACGTAGTAACTCCGGGGCTTCGGAGTCAAGCTCCGAAGCACCGAATCCGGAGACGGTGCACGTAGAGTCAAAGGAGCTAAAATGACGTCATTTTCTGACTGGTCACGATTTCCGGCGCTAAAAGAGAAAAAAAAAACAAAATGGCGGGATAAGCTGCTTCGGTTCTGTCGCGGGTGTGCAGTTTGCTCGCTTTTGTTAATGAAAAATGCTCAAGGTAAGAAGAATAACGTGTTTGAATTTCTTTTTGAGGTAAGGCTCTTTCGGAAAATGCATTGGACCGTATTTTGTTTGGTTTGAATATGTTAATAAACAACGTAAACGTTCATTTGACACGGCGTCAAATGGCTTGATCGCCGTTGCACGGAAACTCGGTAATATTGACGATAGTCCTGTCTGCGCTCAACAGAGCAAGGCAGGGTTTGACCGTGACTTTGGAAGCCGGTTGGACACTCACGCAGAGCATGATACCGATTAATGTTTTGTTTGCGTAGCTAAATTGGGGTGCACGTTGGCTGAGGCTCGCTTCGGCCGACAAAACCTTGAACGCCGAGCGCGGCCGAACTTCTCGTGTGTATACGAGTTCGTTACGAAGGGCAGAACAAACGTATGGCCGTATAAAAGTATCGCAACCGGCTGCATAGATTCGCCGAGCTCTATACTTTACATGTGCTGACGACGTTTTTTGTCGGCTTTTATAACAGTAGCTGCCTTTGCACCGCCAAGCGAAAGGCTCGATCGCGTTGCATCGCTTTGAACAGCAGCGCTGATGTGTACAATCACCCGCTTTTTCTGCAACGACCTTGTAAAGACTTCAATACTGGCGTCAAATAAAAGCGATCGTGCTCGCCATCGTCTGCCTCCAGTTCGGAGACCGTCTGGCACAGGGGAGGAAGCGGAAATTGCGTAGAAGCAGGTTTGGAGCAGCGGGGTTTTTTTTGCCGTTCACTAGGCGCTCCGATGACTCCGACTCAAATCACTCCGTTTGGAGGCAAGGGAGGTGCTACTGAACGCGCCCAATGAAGCCCCATGTTCCATTTTCCAAGGGAACGCTTGTGCATAATTTCAAAACGAGTGGTGAGTGGAAGAAATCTAGAAGAATATGTGATACTTTTGGTAAAAATAAACATACTATAAAAATGCTACCTCCCAGAGTAAATTTAGAGCTTTTTCTCTGGTTTCATCTGTCAATATGTTTCTGTTCACATAGAGGTTTGTTCGGGGCACTTTTCAATATTTCTACCGTCTTTGAATATTTTTTAACACTTTTCAGTACTACTGCCGTCTACTTTGAAAGCCGCACAGTTGAGCAAAACTGGGAGCTATATAAAAATAAAGTGAAATATCTTATTGATAAGCATATTCCTGTTATTTTCATTAAGATGTCAAATGTTTCTCCGTGGTATGATGCAAGCCTGAGGCGCCTAGGGAATAGGGAAAAACGTCTATTTCAGGCGTGCCAGGTGCTGGCATGCATACCATGAGTGCGAAACAGAATATAAGCAAAAAGTTGCTCTAACTAGAAATTGTTACTACCAAATCACTCTCCCCAATATGTTGTGAACCCAAAAAAATTTTGGACAGTAATAAATCCTAAATCGGCTGATGCATTAAATCTTTTTGATATATCAGGAAATTCACTATCTGACCTCGAAAGTGCTCGTGTTTTGAATTCTGCTTTTTCTGCAGTATTTTCATATGAGAATACAGCCCTGCCTATTTTGGATATGTTTTTTGAACATGATCAAATGGAAAGTATAACGATTAATTCATCTGATGTTGTAAAACTAATTGATAACTTGAAGGTTTCTTCTTCGAGTGGTGAAGACTAAATTAATTTGAAGGTTTTAATGAATACTAAAACAATTTCCAGTGTCATACTGTCCGCAATTTTTTCACAATCTTTGCTTTCTCATTCAGTTCCTAGTGGCTGGAAGGTCGGTAAAATTATCCTGTTATTTAAATTAGGTGAACGCAGCTCCCCCTTAAACAATCGGCCCACATCCATTACAAGCATAGCCTCAAAAATTTTTGAACATATATTACATTCGAACATTATTCGCTTTTTAGAGGAAAATCAATTAATTTTCAATTACCAGCATGGGTTCCAGAAGGGTCATTTCTGCGAGACTCAACTCGCAGATTCGTTCATGATATCCATCTTTCTATTGACTTCGGCTCCCAAATTGATGTTATTTTTCTTGATTTCGCCAAAGCGTTTGACTGGGTCCCACATAAGCGTCTGTTGCAAAACTTTACCCATCTAAAATTTGATGGCAACACCATCCTGTGGATCAAAGACTGGCTTTCTGACCGAAGTCAGTACACGGTCGTGGACTCTCATAGTTCAACTTCTATTCCTGTGTCTTCGGGTGTTCATCAAGGCTCCGTTTTTGGACCCTTGATTTTCTTCATATATATTAATGACTTACCTTCATGTATTTCCTCCCGAATCCGTATTTTTGCAGGCGACTGTGTTGTATATAGGCAAATTTCTAATGAAGAAGATAGCATGAAACTACAACATGACCTCACTAACCTATCATTGTGGTGCTCGACTTAGCTCATGAAGCTTAACCCTTCTAAAAGCAAACTCATCTCATCTGTTAGGAAAGAGACCTTTTTTTCTCATAACTATTTTATTGATTCTAACGTTGTTGAGTCTGTTTCCTCTTATAAATACTTAGATGTTCACGTCGACTCGCATCTCTCCTGGAAGGCACATATTCGGTCACTGTTATCATCGTGCAATCGTTCTTTGGGCTACCTAAAACATACACTTTGTTGTGCTCCTCCTCACTTAAAGAAAACTGCATACCTTTCATTGATTCGGCCGAAACTTGAGTACGCATCGAGCATCTGGGATCCTCACCAAGCATATTTGATCACTGAAATAGAAGCCTTTCAAAACCGTGATGCGCGCTTTATTTTTTCTGATTATTCTCGACATTCCAGCGCCACCTTATTAAAACAAGCCGACCTTCCAGAACTGGCCTTAAGACGCCCGCTTTCTTGCTTATGCCTTTTTCATCACATTTACTATGCACCATCTCTCAGCCAAGGCACCCTAACACAGTCGCATTTCGTTACACCTCGTCTTAATCGCTCATGTAAGATAGAGTTTCACCTGCTGCACTTCTTCTTTTTTGTATTGCTTCTTTCCCAAAACAGCAGAGTGGTGGAATGATCAAACAGAGCACATCGTCACCGAGATTAACCCTGATAGCTTTCGTTCTCCTATCAGCAGCCATTTAGGTATTGTATGACACAATTTCTTGTATGTTGGCAATACTGTGGAAGATTTCATTTTTTGTTGCTTGATTGACAATATTTTATATGTTTGCACTGCTGTGCATGTTTTTATTTTATTTTTATTTGTGTGTTTCATATATGATGTACTTATCCCCGCCCTTATGTAATGTCCTTCGCAGAAGGACCTTTAGGGTATTTCAATAAATAAATAAATAAATAAAAATCCTGAGATGCCCCACCCCCTAAAGCAGTGGTCTCAAACTCACTTCAGCGTGGTGGCCAGATATCCCACACCGGGAAAACCGAGGGTTAGACGGGGGGGGGGGGGGAGGGGGGGTAGAGGGGAGATGGAGGGAGACGGTGGCCAAACGATTTAAAAGGGAAGAGACTTTGTGCTCTATGATTTTTGTAAACTCAGTTTTCCCGGGGACATATTAGATGTGATTTGTTTATATGACTACTCTGGACCTTGACTTGATGGGATAGCAATAATTAAAATAACACCTCCTCGGCAACGTTCTCACATTTGGAATAGAACAAGAGAGCGAGTACGCTGTCGTTCCCATTGTTCAATTCACTCAGGAATGAACCAAGCTCACCATGTCTCTAAAAACAATTAGTTAATTTGACAGTTTTGTATTTTCCTGACTATACAACACCTATACTTGTCTTTCAATAGTTACATTTATTTTTAAAGGCGAGAATCCCGAACTTGTAGGTTTATCTTCAACAGTTGCTCCTGCTGATTGAGAGTTTGCGCTTGCAGCCTAGTAGCAGGATTGTTATACGTTACAAAAAACTGGGAAGCAAAACATAAAGCGAAACGAAGGGCAAATGAACACAGATAAGTAAAAACTATGTGAATACGTCAAAGGAGCGGAGCTACTTTTGGAGCGAAAATGAATCGGTGAGGTGAGATCACTATGGCGCATGCCATTTCTAGTGCTGAAGACATCGAAACCGGGTCTCGCCGGTGGCCTGCGGGCCACGTCCCAGCGCGTCGCGGGCCACATGCGGCCCGCGGGCCGCGTGTTTGAGACCTCTGCCCTAAAGATAGCCCGCCCTTATTTTTGGCTTGATTGGCTATATTTTTTTTAAAAACCGAAAGATAGTCCACTTTTAGTAATAGTAGTGTTGGGATCAATGATGGCCTTGGCGTAAATGCGTCTAGTTCACTATGGCGAGATATAAGCAAACATTGCTGACTGGGAAGTACAGTCATCTTTGCTTCATTGCCCCTCACCACCACAACAATCTTGGGATGGACACGACCTAAAAATAGCAGTTTTTTAAAACTTTTCCTTGATTGTACACCGAAAGTTAGCCCACTCCATATTTTCAGCCGATTTGCTTTTGATGTTAGGTGGGCTATCTCTAGGGATTTTACGGTATATTTGGCATGCTTAAGTTTTGTTTAAAAATGAAGAAGGTGCTTGTGTGGTCAACTAAACAAAGATCTCTGAAACAGTGAGCATTTGTACAGTGCACTCAATATTTGCAGAGCTTGCTTAACCTTTTGCCCCCCCCCTTTCCCCCCATCCCCTCTCCCCCCCCCCCCCCTCCAATGTCTGATTTCCAACATTGTAGATAATGGTTGTCCTATACTGTAGCAGAATGTCAAACACATAAAAGATAAGCACTGGCATGGCTAGCCTTCTCACACATCTCTCAGTGACCCCATGTCAGCTTACTGTTGCCATTCAAAAATATCAACTTCCAGATTTCTCCAAAACAAACTAATGGAGTATTCTTTAGTGGAAGCTGATCATAATTTTTATTACTCATTTGTGTAATATTTAAAACAAATTTTTATGATACAATTGATTGTATATATGACTTCACGAAATAGCCAGACTTGACCAGTTTTAGCCTTCTTAGCACTGAATATAATGAATGAAGTAGAAAAATGAGATCTTACCAAGAAATGCCACCACATGTGGGTTCTGAAGGGTTAAGGCAGTCTGGAACGTACGGTACATCTGCCACTCCCTGGTAAAAAAGTAAATATAGTCATACAGAGAGAAGACCCTTGGCAAATTCTACCATACTGCAAAGTGATATTATATTTACGCAGCAAGAGCCAGCACTAGACAATGCGGGGCCCTGGGCAGAAAGGAAAGGGAGAAAAGAAGCATATCTGCACTTGAAGGGTTTACTTCACTCAATTATTTTTACAGTATAGCCATCTCATTCAGGCATACTTGACACAGCATCTATTGTTCACACGCTTTGTATCCATGGGACACAATATTCCACAAAATTGCTCTAGCTGTGGGCCCACCCCCTGCAAAGCATCTTGCCTTACAGTGCTAGTTTCGACTCCCAGTACACACAGAATTAAATTTCAAAGTGCCCTCGTTTTGGCACCAACCACTTGATAAAACGAAAAGGGAGGAAACAAAACTGGTTTGAAATAAAGCAAAAGTAATTTAATTAAGAATTATAAGTACTTTTCTTCTCATTCAAAATAGATTAAAAAAAACAGCAACAGATCTTTGGTTTGAAGCATTAGTGTCATAGCCAGCTTTGTTGTATCAGAACACAACAAAGTTTTGTTTTTGGCCAAACGTTTAACAGTGCCAGGGTCAAAGGTAGGGAGGGAAAAATAAAAAGACTAAAAGTGAGAGATGGCCCCTGTCCCACAAGTGACAGTTCCTTTTTTTGTTCTGTATTACCTAGAAAGTAGGCATAATGCAAAAAATATTAGAGTAAACAGCCTTAGCCAACAGCGGTGGGGACCTACTGCTGAAGCGAGGCACAAGGCCACCGCTTTGATACCCAAGCACGCAAACCAGTCCAGTTGATCCCACACTCTATGAAACAAATTATCGATAAGTAAATAACTGACACAAATAGCAATGAAAACAGCCAAAGTGTGCTTAAGAGTTTATGGCCAAATCATTCATTTAAACAGGTCAATCATATTTTTATAATCTGGCAAAGCTGACCTTAAAGGGATACTAAATTGAAACATAAAATACCTCTCACATTCATAAAAATGTTAAACATGATCAACTCACGCAAGCTTCAATTTTGAACGGATGGCTATTTTTTTCGCTCCAAAGGATTGATTCCAGCGAGTGCTCGAAGATCAGCCATCGAAGAGCGCGATGCAGCAGGGGAGCTGGACCGATTGACATCACATACATGATGTCAATTGATTCAACATGGGCAAAGCTGCTTTGGGGCTCACGTGGTTATGAGCTCCACCACTTGGTGCCATCGACGCATTACAACCTGGCTGTTTTTAGCTGCCCCTCCCCACTCCCCGCAAGAGTTGATTGAATAAGCCGGGAGAGAAGGGAAATCCGGTTCGACAGGGTTCGCGTGCACGCAGCTTGCCACTGTACTTCCGCAGAATGATGCTGCTTTAAAGTGAATAGTGACGCAACAACATTCGATTTATTCTTCTTAAATAATGTTACGGTATCTTTTCAAGCAAAAAAATATTATGTCTTCGTGGTGTGGCCAGATAGTGATTGACATTTATACAACCGAATAGGCACTGGAATTTCGTTGCAGTTTCCCTTTCAGTATACTAGAGTCAGTATGCACAGCCTGAGCATTGCGGAGTGCACCGGCAAAGTACGTACTACTAGATCTGAAAGCATTTCAAACGAACCAAATGCCAACTTGGTACCAAATTTTGCATTAGTATGTTTGATCAGACAAAAAGCCTTGGCAATGACAGAATATTTGCTGGCAATGTTCACCTGCGAAGCTTATCGAACCAGTGGCCTCTTCTAGGACCAAGGAGATGGGTGTCAGCCAAGAGCATCATCTTAAGTGGTTCAGCCTCCTTTTGCAATGAAGGTTGCTTCTGCTGGGAGTGATCATGCAAGGATGGCCACGAGCACTGACCAATGACCACATAGTAGATGATCACCTTGAAGAAACAGCAAGCAAACCAAATTAAAATAACATATAATTCCTTGCCACAGAGCAATTTTATAGCAATTTTGGAGCTTTCTAAATGTCAAATGTCCTCACAGCAAAAGTAAAGGCCTCTTTAAGTGAAACAGACATGAGAGGATCAGTCGAAGCTGTCTAAAGTCTGTTGCATTTAAGGTTTGTTGCATTTAAGAGGACATTGAAGAGAATTCCAAGATTCTATTTTACGAATGAAACCCGTAGTGCTAGCAATACTGAACAAACTTTTTATCCAAACAAGTGATTCCTTGCCCCCAAATCAATTTAACAGCCAGTGCACCGCTCATCCCAGTGACGACCACCCAGAGAGAAGAGAAATATCTGCAACGTGATTGACGCTCATAGATGCTTACGCTGAGAGTGAAATATTTACAAAATGCTTATTGAAGGAAGGAGAGGAGGAACAGAGAGAGAGAGGAGGAGGGGGGTGAGGAGGAAACTGGGAAAAGGCCCCCAGAAAGTTTGTTGTGAAAAAAAAAGAAAAAGAAGGGACTTGCGGTTGGGGATGTCCCCCGCCGATTTGTTGTGCGTACTTTGTTGTGGGGAGGCAGACGATTTGAAATGCGATATCTTCTTTTCACGTGCTTGGGTGTTTGACTAAACGCTGGTCGCTTACTGTTATAGATAGTTAATGAGGTTAATATTTTTAATACCCTTGGCTCAGCGCACCGTGGCGATTTGTAAGCGGAATAGGATCAGCCCCATTCAAATAAGTTTGGGAAACAAATTTTTACCCAGGATTGACCCAGTCTCAAAAATAACTATACCGTATTTACTCGAGTAATAGCCGCACTATTTATGAACAAGGCTCTTGCGTCTACTTTCCCACAGAACACATATACATCCAATCATTGGGTTGCGCATAAATAACATAGCGAATAACCAGGTCGAGAACATGAGTCTCCATACAAATGCAATCTTCACAGATGGTATCTTTGCACAAAGAGGTTATCTCTGTCCTGTTAACAGCTGGAATCATGCTGTGGATCGCGGTGATTGGCAATCTGCGTGCTCTGCGGAAAAGCGAACTCTCAGGTTTTCTTCATAAACAGTGCGGCTATTACTCGAGTAAATACGGTATTTTACATTGTGATTTTCCGGGGGCCCTTCCCCAGTTTCCTCCTCACCCCCTCCTCTCTCTCTCTCCCTATTCCTCCTCTCCTTCCTTCTTCCCTTCTCTTCCTCCTTCTTCCCACCTCCTCCTCGAGCCTGGTGCGACGCCAGATGAATCTGTACCCTTCGCTCAATCACCGCCTACGGTCTGCACACCGTTGTCTTCGAAGAGCCAATCTTTCCTCCTCGGTGTTGGCAGTTTGGCACAAACGGCGTCGTCTCTGCTCCTCAGTTTTACTGTTGAAAATGCAATTCTTGCAGAGGTGCAAGCGAAATGAACAAGGATGAAAGAAAGTATGTTTGTCCTTTGACCCCCTTGTTTCCCTTCTCCAGGGGTTATTATCGTCATTCTTGTTCAGCTCACTTGCACCTTTGCAATAATTGCATCATCATCATAACCTTAAGATGCAGGCCATTCACCCTTGTTGATGTTAGACTGGTGCCAGCTGATAAAACCCGTTTGCTCTACTGACGTCTAACTCCTGGTTAGCTCAGCTGGTAGAGTGCTCCACTGGAAATGGAGAGCTCCCTAGTTTGATACCATTACCAGGCGTCGGAGTTGTCCCCGAAAGGTGGCCATAAAAATGTCATCAAGCACGCACCGCTCAAGGTCAAAGCAGACGCGCCTCAGAAATAAAACACAAAGAAAAGCACAGCAACGCAGATGCTTCATCACGAAAGCCATGATGAAGCCTGCGGGGGTGCCGCTGCTCAAGGCCAAAGCGGACCCGCCTCAGAAATAAAACACAAAAAAAAACAAAAAAAAACACAGATGCTTTGTCACGGAAGCCGTGAAGCCGGCGGGGGCGCCACGCCTGTGCAGTGAAGGAGCATGATGTAACCGCTGGAGTGCCGTGTGCAGAAGGTGCACTTCGCATCTGTGCTCGTTGTGTGCTTCGTGCGATGGACTGTGAGGCGACCGCACAGGACTATAATGCTTTCGCATTCCTACACCATAAGCTGTCTTAAGTGTCCTCCTGTAATTTTTTCGGTCGCGCACCAGTCACCTAGCTGACAGGTGCACTTTTTTATGTCGTCCGTGTTTCTTTGTTGTTCCCGTTTGTTCACTCTTTTTTAGCCTTTTATTCACCTAGCTGTTTGTAGATTTGTGCTTGTCCTTTGTCCCCCTTCTCCAGGGATTATTATTGCCAGTTTTACGTTGTCGCGTACATTGTCTGCACACTGGAAAATTGAGGCCGTCTGCCTACGACCCGGTGCCATCATAACAGGAGTGTGCTTCAACAGCGGCGCGTCATTGAAACAATGCGAGAAGATTCTTTCCCTCTTACGTAAGAGGAAAAGTGAGCATCGAGCGAACGAATGGAGCTAAAGAGCACGCACGACAGAAACCGGGCCGCGGAATCACGAAACCAGTCCAGTCCAAACCAAAGACAGCTGCACGCACCAAAGCAATAAATGCCAACGCATTAAAAATCAAAGTCAATAAGAGGCCGTGGCATCGCCGCCCTATTGATGGCTCCAAGGGCGACCGTTCAGGTCGCCAACCCCTAGGGCCGGTACTGGCTCTCTTGGAAGAAAAACAGCCTTTTCATTCAAAGTCTGAACTGTATTCAGTGTCCCTTGGCATGACCAGTGTATCCTTGCCTACAATAAAAAAAGTTATACACAATAAGTTATACTTTGTGACCAAATGCATTTACTGCAAGACGTATGGCATCACTCAGGTGACTTCGAACCCAATGAGTATAACAGTAGCTACTCTAAGGTCGTCTTTGGCCTCACCTTCTATTTATTCATCTCTATGTCTGCATCCTCTGCAATAGAATGTCCTTCCCCCTCTCACCCAACAAAAAATTGCGAGACTTAAGGTTAGACTGCAGGCTATGCTCACGTAGACATAAATCTGGCAGCTGTCTATACCACGAGCAAGTCAGTCTGCTCCTTTCACAGAGGGTAGAGTAATGTCACGGTCCCAAGCTCTGATTGGGGAATATAGTGGGTAGACACAAGGGCGAAGTTTCGTCTGCTTTTTACACAGAGTGCAATGGCGTAAGGGCGCCGAGCTCCAGCATCGCCCTTTAGTCGCAGCAATGGCTGCCTTGCCCTTGCTATGGCTGTCAGAAATCCACCGGCTTTTTACAAACAAGGGCTCAGCTTTCGAGAAAGCGGAGAGGAAATAGTTTAAAGGGTAAATTTTTTTTATCGACTATAGTCGGTTACAGATTAAGAAGGTAGCGGCAAATGCCCCTCAAAGAGAATCATATATCCCTCCGCCACCTCCGCATCCAATAGCGTCCCATCGTTTTCGTGACGTCGCGGCCAACGCGCGAGGAGGTCTTGCCTTTCTGTACATATTTGCTTTATCTTTCGACTTTGACGTAGCATTGTGGAAGCCACGAGAGGGAGATTAGAGTTTTTCCCCTCCGATGGAAACAAATACGACTTTCGGGGATTAGTTTCCCCCTCCGATGGATGTAAAGGCTGCTTTCAGGGGCTCGCTTCGCCCTCTAATGAATACAAAGGTCACTTTCTTAAAAAGTGGGATCGGAGAAAAATTGGAATACAATGAAGCGGAACAAGGAGAGTTTCCAGTGAACTTTTCTTTCGACTGCAGAGAGATTTGAAACGGGCGCATCACGCTTGTAGGAGGAGCTTCTCCTACCTTCTTGGCTTGTAACCGACTATAGCAACCACTAGACACGCTAAGACGAACAAAGGAATCGCAGCCGAGAGGTTCGGCACCCAGCAAAGGACTGGTGTCCGGGGGGGGAGCTTCACTACACACGTGATTGCTATCTGCAACCTTTTTGCAACCCCGTCTTAAGCGCAAAGAAATATGTCTTGGTCGACTTGATTGCCATTATGGACACAGCAGTCGCTTTATTAAATAAATGCCCTCTGTAGAGGACCGGAATATGAACCATGTCCTTACCTCACAATAAAAGAAGATCCCCAGGCAAAACAGCAGCTTCGTAAAATGCTTCTGAAATAACTGACTTGGTCTGGCTTTCCACATTGACTGCGACTCTGGGAAGGCAGAAGAGGTTGACAAGATGAGCAAATGTGTTCGTAAAATAAATGCGTGCAAGCATACAACTTTGTGGCTGCTTTGTTAGATGTCCGCGTGATGATACTTAGGCCCGAGTCCCACTAGAGTGACAAGCAGAAACAAGCGACACAGACAGGTCTCAATCATGTGCAGCATGCACGCGAAGGTACCTTTGGCAGGCTTGCAATCACTTGTGCTTACTTCACAAGCACCGAGAGGCTGCAAGCCTGCCAAAGGTACC